TCCCCGTTGAGTCCCCATTGATTCCCCGTTGAATCCCATGAGTCCTGCTGAGTCCCCGTTGAGTCCCCGTTGAGTCCCCGTTGAGTCCCCGTTGAATCCCCGTTGAGCCCCCATTGATTCCCCGTTGAATCCCATGAGTCCTGTTGAGTCCCCGTTGAGTCCCCGTTGAGTCCCCGTTGAGTCCCCGATGAGTCCCCGTTGAGTCCCCGTTGAGTCCCCGTTGAATCCCCGTTGAGTTTCCGTTGAGTCCCGTTGAGTTTCCGTTGAGTCCCCGTTGAGTCCCCGTTGAGTCCCCGTTGAATCCCCGTTGAGTCCCCGTTGAGTCCCCGTTGAGTCCCCGATGAGAGTCCCGTTGAGTCCCCGTTGAATCCCCGTTGAGTTTCCGTTGAGTCCCGTTGAGTTTCCGTTGAGTCCCCGTTGAGTCCCCGTTGAATCCCCGATGAGTCCCGTTGAGTCCCCGTTGAGTCCCCGTTGAATCCCCGTTGAGTTTCCGTTGAGTCCCCGTTGAATCCCATGAGTCCTGTTGAGTCCCCGTTGAGTCCCCGTTGAGTCCCCGATGAGTCCCCGTTGAGTCCCCGTTCAGTCCCCGTTGAATCCCCGATGAGTCCCCGTTGAGTCCCCGTTCAGTCCCCGTTGAATCCCCGTTGAGTCCCCGTTGAGTTCCTGTTGAGTCCCCGTTGAATCCCCGTTGAGTTTCCGTTGAATCCCGTTGAGTCCCCGTTGAGGCCCCGTTGAATCCCCAATCCCAACGGGGCCTCAACGGGGACTCAACGGGATTCAACGGGGACTCAACAGGGATTCTCGTTCAGCCCGCCGAGTGGTCCTCGCCCAACTGCTCTCCCGGTGCCCGGTCCACTCGTGGTTCCCTTGTCCCCGCCCCCGGCCCCCGGGCCGCCCCACCCACCCCAGCCCGGGCCATAACATTAGCTAAGTTACTGGATTACTGGCAATAGTACAATATTATATAACAGTATTATACTATATATAATAGATATGGGAAAACACAAAATTTTGCCAAGCACTTTTGCCAAGCACTTTTGCCAGCATTTTCCTCTAGTCTTAACGCTTCCAAAGAAAAAACAATATATACATGAATAATACATAGTATGGTATTACAAGTGGTATTACATACTATATGACTATATGTTATGGTATCTATATGATCCGGCCAGGCCGCCGGAGCGGCCGCTCACCCGCCGGCCACCGGCGCCCAGCCGGCACACCTCTCGGCCGCCGCGCCGGCCCAGCCGGCCGCCAACGTGCCGGCGGCGCAGAAGCCGGCGGCGGCGGTGGCGGAGCCGGAGAAGGCGGAGGCCTGCGCCACGGCCACGCCGGGTGATACCTGCTACAAGGCGGGTTGGAAGCGAGGAGGGGTGGACAGGGATCGACTGAAAATTGCACATGATTTTTTGGGAGCGGAGTTTGGGGGTGCGGTGTGGGTATTATTATAGTGGGTAGTGCGTTGGATCAGGTTTGATGTGCTTCAATGTGCTTCATGCAGAACAGTTGGCTGTGATTCTTGATGATTCTTGTTTGTTTTGTGATGTTTCTTTCCTTTGACGGATATTTTTTTCCTTCCAATTCGTCAGTGTTCTCTTCCGGGTCATGCAGATCTGCGGGTCTCCCGTGTTTTCCGTGCCGTCGTTTGAGCCACGCAGAGATTTCACCGCTTGAGGCTGTCTTGTGGGCAAAGTGGTGGCTTGGGAGCAGATGGGGACGTGGTCGCTCAAGACTTGGGAGAGAGCTTAAGACATGGCGTTCCGCCCCCTGTGGAAGGTGTGGGAAATCGACAAGTTTTATCACTGGGCTCCCTATTCAAATACACACGACGGAGGAGGATCTCAATAGTGTGCGCAACGGGGGAGGTGGTAGATGGCTCGAAAGGATCGTAGTGGTAGATGCCTCCGTGAGTGGTACCCTTTTTGAAGCAAGCCCTAGGCCAGGATCTAGTAGAAAGCCTAGGTTGAAGGCTTTGGCAAACTTGGATCGCCTTTCAGTTGAACTTCTTATACCAAAGGCATAAGATGGGAAGAAGTTTTCCATATCACAATGTACCGAAGGCTTTACTAAAGAGATGGACATGACATCTCAAAGAGGTGGCCAGCTGGAAAACGATGATGGGTCCGATGGGTCCCCTGTAGCTTTCTGGCCGGTCTTAAAGTCTGCAAGCTTCTTTCTTGCTTCGATTTTGGAGGTTACAAAGACTCTGGTGACTGTATGGAAGGATGGGTACAACCACCTCCTTCAACGCCACATGGCTTTCTGCACCAGAGGTCCACGCCCCCCCAGCCCTCGTGCTGGTTCCCCAGCCCTTCGGAACTCTCCTGGCGAACGGATCACTGGATTCCTGAGCATCCGGATCGCTGAGGATCGGTCTGATTGAGCATCCGGATTGGTATCCTGGATTGCACCGGGCCACCGCCAACCGCAAGGCCATCCAGGAGAGGCGTTGGAGAGGCGTCAGTGAGGCGTCAGTGAGGGTCGGAGGTCAAAAGTACAAGTGCAAGGGGTCGGGGCTCCATTTTCCCATCCACTTCCAGTTAAGTGTACAACACCGTCGAAGGAGTGGTTTCTTGTTCTCTCGAAGTGAAAGAAAGCCCCCGCTGGGCCCCATCCTCTACCACTTGCAGTGCCTGGACCTCCTTTCCTGCACCACTTGCACCACCAGGACTGGCTTCACAAGCACAAGCAAGGACCTGTTGGTGGAGCTTGGGGGGGTCCTCGGCGCGGGGATTCTTCGGAGCCGGCGTGTGCGCCCGGTGTCGGGGAGCTCCGAAATGGGGGTGGAAGTGGCACGAGGCTTCTGAAAGGGTGGCTATCTCTTGTGTTAGTGGTGGCGAAATCCACAAAACGCATGGGGGCGAACCGCAGGATGGCCCTAGGTGCCGTTCTCGCTTCAACATGCTTCGGTACCTGATGGTATCGGCTCGACTCGGCGGCCGGGTGTGTAGCTCAGGCCTCCCAGGCGTGGCGTTAAGAGCCACCCAGCCGCAGCGCCAGAGTGTCTCCCTCTGAAAAGACCCAGACTCCAAGGGACTGGAGGTGTTTTGGGGGTGGTGGGTACCGAGGCGCACCGAGAGGCGCCAGCACCACACGTGAACGAGCCACCCGACACACGAGACGTCCGGAAAATACGGCGTTCTATCCATGGTCTATCCATGTCTATAGTGCAAGGACGCATCTTAAAGTGCGTCCATCGCGAGGATCTTGCAAGAAGCCCTGCGACGAAGCTTCGTATCCAGTGCCAGAAGTGGTGCCTTGGGCCATGTACGACTGTCCGCCCCAAACAGATACCAAAGGTGAATCAAACGTGTGATGTGAATCAATGAATCAATGAATTTCCATGCATTTCCTTTAAACTTGTACAACTGATCAGGAGATTCAGGTGACCAGATGATCAACTCATGGTCAGAGACCAGAGATCAGTGAAGTCTCCTTTTGAGTGAATCTTCATGGTCCAACCCCGGCGGTTTTCTCTCTTCAAAAACCGAAAGATAGAGCTACGGACTGGACTTCAGAACACTCTCGTAGGCCAGGGGCCCCTCATTTTCGGTGTTCTCTCCCCTAAGACAGTGCCGGGCCTTTGAACAACGGATCTTCACCCACTCCCAGCTGCCGTGTCAACAAGCGGTCCCGCTGCGATCTGTGCAGCATGCTCCGAGCCAAGTGCTTCAGGGCAAGGGAAAGCCGAGCCTCTTCTGCATCTCCGTGGCACGCATGGGACCAGTCCCTCGGTTCGCAGCCGAAGTTGGTTCGGGTCGCAGCCGGAGGAGGTCGGAGGACATCCCGGACACTTCGGCCCAAAGACGATGGAAGCGACGTTTGTTGGACATCTGAAGGCGGCAGGTGCCCAAGAAAAGGCATGTTCGGTCGCAGGAGGGCACAGGGAGTTTTCTGAATGACTCTGGGAAGTAGCTGGGAAGTAGCGGGTGCCGGCTTGAGCCCGTTCATCCTCTCGAGCCAGTGCGGGACCTTCCACAAACGAACACCACGACGTGAGAAATAAGCCCAAGAAGGGCAACCCCCACAGCATCCAACATGCTAAGACACTAATTTGCTGGATCCATTTGGGGGACAAAAAGACACTTCCATTGGCATCAACACGTGGCCCATTTCGACTCGTCGCTGTCGGTGTTTCTAACCACGGGTTCTCCGGTGGCGCTGACGGTCCTCGGAGCCCCAGGAGATGGATACGATGTTTATGCAGCGACAGATCGGTGCCGGAATTTTCGCCTGTGATGGGCATGCGGCCGCGTGGTGATTGGATTGGGGGAAGTGAAGGGGGGGGGCGGATACGGACGGGGTAGGAAGCTCTCGAGTCGAGTGAAGCAGGTGGAGGCTTCCAGGGGGTTTGGCTGTGCTGCCATACCAGGAGTTGATTTTGGTATGTGCTTTTGGAGAGATGAGGGGAGAGATCGGCGTCAGGGCAAGCTGGTCTCCAGTATTGGAAGGTATGGAATGGAAGCATGTTTCGGCACTTACAAGCATGTTGAGGCGGTGTTATTTTTTCAATATGTGTTAAAATCAATTTGTATATGATGTTTCCTGAACTAAGAATCGTTCAACAACCCAGACTTTCTTTTGGAGCATGAACCCGTCTTGAGCCAGGAGTTGTGGGCAGAGCTTCAGATGGCTTCAGCTCTCTCAATTCATGGGTTCTTTCATGGTTCGAACCCTTCAGGTTTACAGCGACACCAGTGTGGACATCGATGGCTTCAAGACGCCGCTCGGACCGACGTTGGGTCCAGCCCCCGGTCGCACGAGCCCTCTGAGGTCCGTTGGGGTCCGGTTGGGGCAGCTCGGGCTGGTCCTGCTTAGCCCAAAAGCACAGGGCCCGGACGAACCGAAGCGAAAAGAACGCTGAGATCTCCGAACCGAACCCATCCCGTTTCCTGGTTCTTCCTTTTGACCGAACTTGATATCCCAGCTTGAGGTCACAAAAGGGCCTGCAAAAGGTCCGCGGATTGGACTCCAAAAAGGTCACGAACTGAAGAAGCTGGTTCATAGTTGAGAGTCAAGTGCCCATGCACTTGAGCCCTTCCAGATTCTGGTATATAAATCCAATGTTTCCCAATCTTTCTTGAGAAAGGGTTACTGCATCCAGGCCTTCTTGGATGAAATCGATGATGTGTGAGAGACACCCTGTCTTCGACCCAGTGACCCCTTCACCGGCCATCCGCCACCAAATCCGAGCTGCAGCTCGGAAGACGGGTCACGCTACAGACGGACGCGACAGACGGGTGCTCTGTCGGCTGACTGCGGCTCAAGACTGACATCTCTGAAACAGGTGGGAGAGGCCAGAAATGGGACCAGACCAATTGGCGCAGTCTAAGGCTTCCGCCTCAAAAGGCAAGCCTGCCGAACTGGCCCAATGATTGGGGTTTCTGCCAAAATCACCTCTTGCCGTCCTTTCTCATTTCGTGACAAACGAAGACACTGGACTCTGTGCAGGTCTTTCATGTTTTTTTCCATCCGATAGGATGACCATCACTGGAGACTTAAAACGCCTGAATTTGATTTTTGTTTGTTGAAGATCTCCGCAGACAGAAGCCTTCCTTCAGCCAGGGGTGGATGGTGCAAAGTGGCTCAAGTTCTGATGGAAAGGCATCAAACGGCTGAGAGAATGTTGACTCAAGACATCTTCCATCGCTGTTAAAACCTGACGGATTGCTTGGGCATTCATTTCTTTGGAAGGTGCAAACCCCCTTTTGCATGAGCAATGAGCCATTTCTGAACGCCCCAGGATCGGTCGGTTTTCGGCCTGCGCAGTCGTTGACCCGCTTGGTGCCCCAAACGAACGGTTTCCACAGAATTGGTCTTGAGTCAGACTATGACCAAGTACTGTATGGATCTGTATGGTATGTCTTTGGCTTCTACTTCTACTCAAAAAAGAACACACCTGTACAAACCACAGGGAGGCGGACCACCGGAGCCCTGCTCCTCCCTCGCGCCCCGCTGTCCTCCGCGCGCTTCTCGTTTGTCTCTGAGGACGTTGATCCCCTCGACGGCCTCGGGCGTGAGTACGGACCAGACGGCGGCGAACTCGCAGGTTTTCATGAACACTTGGATGTCACTCTTGCGGCTTGGACTGAAAGAGCTTAGGGTTTGGAACCCTGGAGCTGGGGGATCGGAACCGGTGCCAGGCAGTGCAACGGAAAGCTAGAAACATGGGGACGTTAGGGGGGGAGCTCGGGCGGTGAACCTATTGGGGGGAGGTGCAACGTTTTTTGGTGATTGGGGAGAGCAGATCTTGGTGGGTGGTTTGAGGGTGGTTTGGGAGTGAGTGGGTGGGTGGGAGGCAATGTGTTTGGAGGATGGCACTTGCAGGATCATTCGCATGATGTGTCGGTCTGACCACATACTGCACTGCACGGATCGTTCACCTCGTCCTTTTCGCGCTGTCCGCAGGACTTCAACGAAGTGGTACGAGTTTGATTTCATTGCCAAGGTCCGGTGGGTCCTGGCTCGAAATTGGCCCGGCCTTCGTCTCGGGGGTCTCGAAATCCACCCCGGTCCAGGTGTTCGTCGGGGTGCGTGTGAAACGCACCCTGTCGGGCGGACGTGGGTTTGTTTCTCCATGGCGAAAACGCGTGCACTACACAGCGAACGCGAAAACGCGTAACTCGGTGGCCGTTGCCGGCCGTTGCCGGCCGTGATGCTATCATGAACCTGTGATTTCCTGAAGTTCACTACTTGGTGCGCCCGCTGCGCGGTGGGAAGGTGACCCGAAAAAGCTACTGCTCAGCTCCCGGACATCTCGAAGTCGCACTGCGAAACCAACACGATTCAAAACGTCAATGACACGTTAATAACGAACATGATTGAACAACCCCTTCATATGGGGGGGTTTTGTTGAGGCAAGAGCCTACATGTAAAATATTGTAAAATTCTATGGGGTCTTGCTCAGGTAGTGCTGATCATGTTGTGCCCTCTTTTTTTTTCTCTGCCAATTCTGGGGGATGAGGATGATGAGGGCTCAGGCTCCTCATGACTTCATGTTTCTAGTGGAAGGTACTCGGTCATCGCTGTCCGAACGTGACTTCCCGTCGCGCGCATGTTCTGGCGATTTTTCTGGGTAACATGGCGCACCCAGTGAAGGCATTCCCACTTGGAACAGAGGAAGAGGGTGAGCCCTCAAGATTCTCTTCTCTAAGGAGAGGTACAGAGAAGAATCTTCCACGCCCACGCATGTTTCTTTGAGAAGAGCTTTGGAAACCTCTTCCTGGAAGATCATTTTGGATCTTCATTCCTTTTGACCAGAACGCCCACTTGGCACCGCCAAAGCGCCCTCCACCTACCCTCCCACAGGTGGATCCTGATTGCGTGTTCTTCCCAGCGCGTTTGCGCGGGCACGTGCACAACTATGTCGGCCAGAACGTTTTCTTCCTGAGACTTGGATGACTTTCCGAACGGCTTTGCCATCGTTTAGGTATGATTGGATGAGTGTGTACGGGGAAGGTGAACGTTTGCTAGTTTTGTTTAGACGTTGTCAACACAAAACTGAGCCAAACGTTTGAGTGTTTGATCTTTGCCAGCACAAAGAATGTGGCAACCGCTTCATTAGGGTGGCTGTGCGTCAACGAATATGGTTGATATGGACGTTTCTCAATTATCGCCTCGAATGGATGGCTGCCAGTGCATCTTGAATCCCGCCAACGGAATCTTGGAACCCTCATGAACCCTCCACACTCCCAAGTCGCAACACATGAAAGTGAAACCGACAGCAACGAGCGCCAGTATGGTTCTAACAGTTAACCACAGAAGGGGTGGTTTATTGACACCCCTTAACTTTTTCTATCTTTTTCTTTGTTTACTACATACTCATAAGGGGGCTATGAATGGACGTGCTTGGTCTCACGTTGTGTTGCTAGCGGCTAGCGTTGCTAGGGGCTTGATGAGGCGGCTCCACCGAGACCATTTTCTTCCATTCATTCAACGACTGACTATATATACCAGGAGTCACAGAGCTCGGGGTGGTGTGGCTCGTCCCATCCAGTGAGTGGACCTGGGCACCCCGACTGCCTCTTGTGACTGCTGGTATGTTCTTTGCTTGGCCGATTGGCTCGGTCGATGGGCAACGGCTCAGAAAGACCATCCTCGAGACTTCCCCGAGATGCGGGGCGCCAGGGCAGCGTCAATCCCGATTCGAAAAGCTCCACCGACTTCAGCGTCCTTTCATTTTTTTTGCCAGTGCCTTTACCCTAAGAAGTCGAGCCACCCTTTCTTAGAATGGCCGAATGACCGAAAAACCATGGTTTTACTCAGGATTTTTAACAGTTAAACTATAGATCAACCATTTTGAACATGGTCGGACTGGACTTCCCAGGGTTTAAATGTGCCCTTTTTTTGAAGCTCGGAGCTATTCAGGACAGAGGGAGAGGATTCTTTTTCCTTACTTTTGACTGACGGGCTCAGTGGTGAGCCATGTGACCCCGAGGAACTGCGGAAAGTACGTTCCCGTGCCTTGGCTGAAGGAGGTGGCTGGGAAGACCACCCAGTTCCAGGACACGCAGCTGAACGGTAGTTCCTTAGATGTCCTTCTTATCTCTGAGAGGTCCACAAGAGCCTCACTAGCAGCTAGTACATGCCATGTGACCTCTTTTAAGATGAGGAGGGGTTTATAGAAGCAGGCGGCACGGTCCACAGGCAGCTTTGCCGGCAACCCTCCACTTCCTTCCCAATCTTCACAGAAGCCTCATCGACTTGGTGCTGTGCCACGCCGAGGCCACGATGTATGGCGCCCTCGAGGTCTATTCGAAATCTTCCCTAGGTGCATACTTGGCTTCTCATAAGAGGCCCGTTCCGCGTGCGTTGGAACACCGCTCGGTCCACGGGGGGAGTTCCTCGTGGCGCGTGGCTTTTTCCTTGTTGGGCGTGTGGCGGGTGAGCTTGGGGACTGCAAGACAGTGGCATGAGTGACTGGCAAATTGAACTTTCATGGTGACCAGGGTAGCATAGGTGTAGGGAACAAGCCACGCAAAAGATACAATGGCTTGCAAAACATGGGATGCAATAGATACCCGCGTGTCTTCTGGACACCCTCCAATGCGATTGGAAGCTAGAAATCAGCGATCAAAAGCAGAATCCCATTGCTTGGTGATGAATCAACGAAAGGCATAGGTATCAAAAAACAAATATTCCTTGATACACCTCTTCTGCTGCTCTCCTGGCCCTGTGGTCTGCAGGTCCTCTGGGCTGAGCTTGGTCTTTTCTGGGCGTTGGGGTCCGCTGAGCTCCGGCAGGTGTGAGAGTTCTTTCCCCTTCAACGCCTGGGGCGAGGACAAGCGCCTTGGCCGGATCCGTGTGGACCGGGCGAGGCCACGTTGGCCTCAGATCCGTAGAGGATGGAACTGGTTCGTGGGTTTTGCGGTGATGGTCCTCATCAAACGCAAATCCTTTTAGGATTAAGGAGGATTACGGGTTGCAAGACTATCCCAGACGGATAGTCTATGGGACGACTGGGGCTTACAGATTAGAACTTTGGGCTCTCTTCTTAGTCTGTCCAGGGCATCCGCCACACCTCTCCGCAATGCGCAGATATATCTAGAACCCCCACCTCAGAGGTTTGGATCGGCTGCTTCCAAGCCGGGGTTGTGAGGGTGGCTGCTAGCAAATCTCTAAGTCTCTAGGGATGTTTCCCTGTTGTTTTGTGTTCCGCTGGGTGAACACTGGTCTCCATCCTGGGCTTGTATCGGATTACGGACGGATTAGCTTTCGCTTCTAGGCGTGCTCATTTTGAGGGAAGCTTGTTCAGCCATCGAAGAAGATGAAAGAAGCATACACCCTCAAGTACGTCCTCAAAAGAAAAACACCCTTAAGTGACGAGGGGTGTGACGAGGCGACGTGGACATGAAAAGCAAGAGACATCAACAAAATCCAAACCAAGACCTTTCAACAGGTGGTTTTTGGACACCGCTTAACCTCTAAGAGCCTATTTATAGACGCCTTTTGGAAGGTCCTGGTAGGGACCGCAACCTTTTTCTTAAGATGATGACATGACTGGATGACCTGCAATCCCTACAACTCGTGGCAAGAGCTCCGTATCTTTGCCCTAAATCCAATCATGATACTGACCATCCTTGATTAGCTCGCCCCAAATGGTTATACAAGATGATGCAAGATCATGCAAGATCCATCCATCTGTCTTACAACCTAAAAGCTTTACGCAAGATGATCGAAGTCCAAATCCCCCCGGTCCCCCCAGAGCCTCCCTGAAACGAGCGCCCCAGATACGGAACCTCTCAAACTGCGCCCACTGCCGCAAGCTTTTCACCCGCGAAGAAATTCTCGGTGTGGAAACCACTGGTGGTGTTCTTTCGCCTTTTTTCAGCGGGATCTGTTGCGAGGTACATGACGAATTGCTTGGAAATGTTGGGCTGCAAATCGGCCTCTCAGGCTAAAAGAAAAGGAGAGGTTTCACGGACCCGTATGGACCATACTGTGGACGGGTGGGGCGCTCAAAAAAGATGAACACCGCGGTTGGGTGTAGGTGGTTTGGCGTGGGATTGGCATGTTCTGAAAACATGGAGATCCAACCAAGAGCTGGTGATCAATTGGGCCAAGTACTGCTCAGTCTGGGAAGCTGGATTGGAAGAGTAAACCAGGTTTGAACTCCACAACCCAGCAACGCTCTGATACGGAGGCTGTTTGGACTGGAAACCCACCCGGAGTTGCTCAGTATATATGTATTTTTCGAGCAAGGGGGTTACCATCTCGACATTGGTCGGGTCAAAGAGGATCTTTGGGATGTTGTCAGGGCCCCTGTTGACTCAGGGGACGACGTGGAAGATGGTGGGACTCTGTTGACTCTGCTGTTAACCGATGGGTGGTCCCGGGGCGACCCCACCGAAAATGGTCTTTCTTCAGGCGACCCACCATGAGAATCTACTGATGATGGGACTCGATGCTGGTGCCAATCCTCGGCAACACATCCGACTGTCGGAGCCCGATCCCCCCCGCCTCCCAGGTGGTGGACTTTGGCAACTTCCTCCATGACGAGAGATGCTGGGGCGTGGACTGTGGAAACAAGTGTCTTGGGCCGCAGAGGGTGGGCACTGCCGTCTTCACTCCGTCGTTTTTTCTTATCCAGAAGCGTGTGGCATGGTGTCAAAGAAAGGCATGTGCGATGCTCGGACGCTTCAAGCCTCCATCACAACTCAACCAAGCTTCGGGATCAGTGCAACTAGCAAGAGGCGAGAGCCAAGTGGGAAAACACTTTGGCCTTATTTGCACGATATCCAGTTTGCTGCCGTACCCTGTGTCTCGTTGACTGTTCACCGGTGACAGTCGAATGGCGTCCGTCTGAGGCAAGCCGTGGCCTTCCATGCCTTCAAAGAGGTGAACCATTGGTACAATTGCTGGCTGCTCTCCAACCACAACGGCTTCTGAGACTCCCACACGGCTCCGCCTTTGATAGGCCCCGTGTTGTTGGAGATTGATTCAACGAGCGCGCTAAATATGTAGCGGACTGGGCGAGGGTGGGCCTTCTTATGCTTCAAAAGGTTTGGGTTCAGAGTCGCCTTCGATGCTGTTCGTATGCCCGACGAACAGGCGACGAACTGGTGGAATAGGTCGTATGGCAGAAAAGAAAGCTGGTTGGAGTAGATAATTATAGTAATATGATATAATAATTTGATTTAACATGCAGACAAACACCAGAACAGAGACGCAACTCAGAGGAGAACCTTCGCCTTTCTCCCAATTTCATCATGTTCCGGAGAAAAAGCAAGGTCACAAAGCAGCCCCTCACATCCTAACGCAAAAAAACCGAGTCAAGTACTGGTGTGTAAAGGAATCTGTACTTAGCTTTCGGGCCTCGAAGATAGGAGACGACCGATGAGGAGACATCGTGGATGTTGGAGACCTGTGTCCGGTGTCGGCGGTTTGGTGCCACAGAAGCTCCGTTGGAGGGCCTTTTCCAACGAAGGCGGACGGGAGGGGTTTCCCCATGTAAGGCGGATGATCAGAACGCCGATTTGCAAACCTGGGTTTCTCGCGCCAGTGATTTTGGACCAGTTTCTGTCGACCGTTGGATCACTGTGCCCCAGAATCGGTGCTGTGCAAATGGCCAAGAGCTACAGATAGAACTCGTCGCTTGCCGCTTGCCCAATACTTTCCATTGGCCAACGATGGTCCATTTCGCCCAGTTCTGCCACGGCGCTGCCAGCCGCCACCGGCCTTCTTTTTTCACCATTCCTCCGTGAAATGAGAGTAGGTTTTGTCAGAGGTTGAACGTTTTTGGTGTGTGCCACTGGGACTGCATCTTTCGCCCAAGGATTTGATTCTTGAACGTTTTCTCCCCAACATGGCAACTGTGGAGCTGTCCCTGCCAAAGAGGAGTGGAGGTTAGATCTGGTTCTTTCCGAAGGCGTTGATCTCATGTGGTGCAATGATGAATCATCTGCAGCGTTTTTGGGACCCCAAATCGATCGAACACCACGGTCAGGGGGAGATTTGGCGGGTCTGATCCAGGTTCGCAGGATGCCCAAACCTGGTGGGTCTGATCCCAGTAGATTGGAGGAACACCAAGACCAACCGGGGCCTTCTGTACGTATCCTCCCTGAGGGGCGCCTCATCCTTCAACGCACTGCGCACTGCGCAGCTTAGTGCGTGTGCATCATTAACATTCATTATATAACATCATGAATGGCTTCACACCCTGGGGATCCAGTCGACGATTCTTGGTCTTTTCTAGGGTCTTTCGGTGACTAGCGGAATATGGGAATTCCTTTCCTTCGGTGGTCCCAAAAATAGTCGAACTTCTAGGGTAATTACTAATTACTTATCTAATTCGTTCTAATTCCATGATGGCTGTTGAAGCGGTAGAGATTCACGGCAGGGAACCAAATTAGTTCGTCTGACCCGTTTGGGGCCAATTGGAGATCCAAATTCTTATGGAAGCTCCAGCAGATCTGGAGGGCATGTGGGAGATCTTGTGGAGCTAACATGAAAGTATTTACTCAGCTGCCAGCAGGAGTACTGACAGAATCCTCTTTCTAGATTCTGTAGTTGACTTAGGTTTGGAGGGTCGCAAGAATATCATGTCAAGCAAAAAACAACACCCTACAGCCCTACAGCCCACTTCCTTCTTTGTACCCAATCCTGGGTCAAAAATGAGCACAAGATGTTCTTCGAACGTGACTCGGATCTGCATAATCTCTTCCCCCTCGCAGAGGTGGAACGCCTGTTTAGCCGCTGATTTTCCGTGGAAATGTCTTCCCCGCCCTTTTTCCAAGAGCAACCCAAGCAATGCAAGAAATTGTTGCATACCTTCCCAAAAAATGTCCGATTCAGGTTCCATCAATTGTCAATTGTCATTGTATTGCCCCCTTATTTTACTTGGGGAATGTCTGGGATGGAGGGACCCCAGTAGCTTGATGGGGTCCCTTCTTTCTGCGAGGCTGAAATCGGGGCCCTTAAAGCTTTTGCGGCTCGAGGGGTGCAATGAGAACTTGACCGCAGGGAAGGTGCCAATGTCGTGCCTTCGACGATGAGATGCGCCGAACTCCGCCAGAGTGTGCGGCGAAGCAGCGGGGACGGGAGAGGAACATCACGGATAGAAAGTCATGTCCAAAGGCAGGTACTGACAAAAGATACTCTCCACATGACCAGGTTTGGTGAATTCCTTTACTTCGCACAGTGCGACACCTGCGTTTCCAAAGCCCGCTTTCGACGTCCACCGGGCGCGACCCTCGCGGGCGCGTTCTCCTAGAATGGCCCTCGGAGGCCAGGAATGGTTCGTTTCACTGCGGTACTCAACTGCCTGGCTTGGAAATGCCTGCAAAAAAGATGAACAACGTTCTAAAGGATTTGTTTTCATATCTTTCTATGAAAGGAACAATTTCATTGAAATCATCAAAACACCATTAATTGACACTTGCATAGCTTGCGGTTGCAAGTTTTATGTTCACGAACATTCACTAAAATGTACCCCCCGGGACATTTTGGCTCAAGGTTGGAGGCAACACAGTTGCCTACAGGTCTTTGAAAAACTCACGCCCATAGGTCTTCTTTCAGGGAACATCGCTATGGCGCACCCTATGGAAGCAGAGCACGTGAGGCTTGAGACCTTTACTGAGGCCCAGCCTGGAGCGGCTGTGGACCCCGAGCTGGACGCTGAGGTGGCTACCGTGGACAGCCCCAATTTTGCGCAGCTCAATGAGGTGGATGCGGCCTCCTTGGCCCTCCGCCATGCCGAGGGTGAGGCGGCTCGTGGCCTTGCCAGCTTCTGATGTGGCTAGACGCAGTTGGAGAAGGCCTAGAGAACCTGTTGGTCGTGTAGTGTGCAGTTGGAGAATGTTTGAGATAGTTCTCTTCAGTTTTGTGCAGGTTCAAGATGACTGTGAGCCTTAATTTTTTTGAGAAGAGTTTGACTAGCTTGGCGCCTTCAAGTCACCATTCTCCAACATTTGGCTCTCGGTTGTTGATCCCCCAACCATGTTCCATCAACCTTCCATAGCCAAGTGTGGGTTGATTCACCTCTAGACTGAAGATCACATTGTCTCTGAGAAGAACTTCTCGTCCTTCAAGGTCATGCGACGAAGTTTCAACACTTTTCGCACCACTGTCAAAAAAGATTGCCACATCCTCATTCTCTTCCCCAAGTCTCCTCACTATGGGTTCATCATCTGGGATGTCAATCTCTTCAACTTCGTGGAACTCTGACTCATCATCATCATCATCATCATCCCCAATGTAGAAGTGAATTACTCGAGTTCCTTGACCTTCTAGCTCATCATCTCCTTGTCTCAAGTCAAGGATGATTGGCTAACTTTTCTCAATTCTCCTCACCACCGGTTTGGTCTCTGCTGAGCTACCGCGTTGCCTCACATTGGCATGCTGTTGGCCAACTATACGAGTTGTGTCTGATGCCCCTCCTGAAGATGAATGGGCTAGATCACTTGCTACCCGTCGAACATGGTTCCTCCAACAGTCTTCAGCAAGATGTCCTGGCTTTCCACAAGTGTAACATGTTGCCACACCCTTGCCTTTTTGGTCTTTGCCTTTGTAATCGCCTTCTTGTCCTTTCTGATCTCCTTTTCCTTTCTTTCCTTCTCCCATAGCATCTTTACCTTTGCCTGTCTGACGGTCTTTCTTGCCCTTCTTACCTTTTCCTTTGGCATCTTGGGCTCGATCAATAAATGTCGATTAGCCCACTTTTGCTGAGTGCGATCTCATTGCAACACTTGTTCCCTCAAAGTTGAGTATTGAACATTGTCGCCAATTGTCAAGTTCAAGTATGATTTGAGTTGTCCACCCGCACATCTCAAAAGAACAACAGATTTCAAGTCTTCTTGACTTGTAGTCATTGTAGCCCCTGACTTGACCGTCTCAGCAAATACTTCTTCAAGCTTCAAGAGTTGAGGGTGGCTGCTCCCAAGAGTGCTAAGCCTTTCACCTTCGCAGTTGGTTTCAAAGCTTTATTCAAAGTCCTCCAAGCATCAAATCCATTGGAGTCCTCCACAGCTTTCACCAATTGCAGTGCTCTGCCTCTGATCAATGAAGCTAACAACCCATAAAGCTTGACGCGCCTGGTCTTCTCTGCCTCAGTTGCCAAGTCCCAATCAAACTTTTCATTTGGCTTCTCATGAATCTCTTTCAAAGTCTTTCATGCAGCCCTCATCAATTGTGCTCCCATGACCACTCTCTGAATGCCTTGATCTCTTCGTTTTGTGACTTATAGTCAAAGACAATTTTCCAGTCTGTTGTTGATGACTTCTTGTCTTCCACTGCTTTCTTGACTGCCTCAGCTGCTGGTGTCGTTGCCAGCGTACTCTGTGCTATAGTTTGAAGGATTTTTCTGATCTCCTCCATCTGTTTTTGGTACGAAAATTTCTTTGACACAATGTACTAGGCACAGAGTGTTGCTCACAACAATTCTTCACCAGTCCAGCTGTTTGGGTTCCAAAGGCCCTAAATCTATGGTTCGAAGTCGCACCCGGGATCCCAGTGACCTGGGGGCTTTTCTCTGGAACTCAAACGGGGTTTCCCTTATCCTTGCTCCGCTACCATACGCACTTTTCCTTGATACGCAAAAGGGCTGCAGTGCAATCACATGCATTTTGTCACGCTCATTATGCTATGCGCGTCTACTCTGATTTACCTGGAACATCGTTCGCAAAATACAAAAATACGAAAAGGTACGGCCACCCCAAATGATACAAACGCATACAAAAAATATGACCCGCGATTACAATATTTGCCGAAGCGGGTTGCGAAGCAAAATTTTGCAAATTTTCATTTTGCTGCCGCGTCGACGAGGGTGCTTGCTGATTTTGCGGCCCGATTGCCTTTGCTACTATTTTGCAACAAGACATAAAAACAACAAATTCGAAAATGCTTCTTGAAAACACAAAATTCGGCCCCCATTTGGGTATGTCATTTGGGAACCAGGGCCGGTTAGGACGTAGAACTATGTCAAAAAGTTGTATGTCAGGGACTGTCAGGGTGTTTCTTTAACATATTTTTTTGTATTTTTTTGGGTTTCTTAGCCTCTACCTGAATTCCACGGATTCAGCACTACCGTAAGAACCTCTAATGTAGACACACCTTTTTGGGAAAAAAATTGGTCTTCAAACTGCATTTTCACAAACAAAAACTGGCGAATGTTGCAAGGGGACCAGGTTGCAGTGTCACACTACTTCACAACAAGATCGACAACGTTGCTTCCGTTGACCCGAAGTTTGACCAATGTTGTGCCGACCCGAATGTTTGATCAACGAATGTGGACGGAACTGTATCCAACACAAATTATATGCTGGGTGTTGGTAAAGATCATCGCACTTGACTTTACTCCTAGCGGTATTGTAATACTCCGTTGATTCGTTTGGTCCTGTGCAGCAGCACAGCAAAAAGACACATCGGACATGGAATTTGCGTGTATAAGTTGTCACCAGCGGATAAATCGTGTTCCAATCTTTATCACATTGCCGAGAGTTGACCCAATTTATATCCATTATGCCACAAGAAAAGAATCCAAAGGCGAAGAAAAGGGGGGGAAGTCACGGTTCTGCAGGAATACCCTCTGTGATATCACTGGCGACGTGACATACTTGCATTTGCATCAGTGGCCAGAGACCAAACCAAGAACCTCGCATGTACAGTGGTTTCAAAGTAGATGGCGCAGACCTCATGATGTCAGTTGCACCACCGACCTTGGACATCTGTGCCATCTACTTTACATCCACTATCAAAGTAAACAAATTACCTTTGACACTGTCGCAGTTTTTATGTGCTCACCTCGAAAACATCGTTGTTCATGCATGTTATTCACGCTGGCACTCGGTCATGAAGACTAAAACGTGGTCTTAGGAGTCACTTAGGAGGTCATCGATTTTGACACTTTCAAAATCCTCGTTACTCCTCACATTCACAGTGCATGATAGGCATAGGTGGCGACACCGTCGAAAAACCTGGGCTGCTCCACAGACAAAACGGGTTTTCCCGGATCAGTCACGTTCATGCAAATACACTACACAAGAACCGTGCGGGACATGCATTTCAGCCATGTATTGCTTGCGCCAATGTCCTTTTTAGGGCGCTTTGCTTGTGCGCCTTGGCACTCGCATGCCTCCATCGTTTGTGTAGGCAACCGAAACAAAGGTTGCGGGATGCGAAAGAAGAGCCTTCAAACTTAGCCCTTTGCTGTGATGTCTTCTTGTTTTCACCCCAAAATGTCACCGCCTTCTTCCAGACCCATCCAAAACCAAACAAACAGGACCCTGACCCGGACCCCTGTTTTGGCTTGGGGCGGGAAACCCGACCTCCCGGACCACCGGTGCCTGGGCCGGACGCCCGCCGAGGCGGATGAGCTTCTCGGTCGAGGACGCTGAGGCGGAGCTGCTGACGCTGAGCTCCCAGGAACAGGACGACCGGTGGTGGGGAGGGTGGGGGAGCCTTGGCTCGGGCTGTGGTGAGGGAGGGCGGAGGGGAGGGTGGAGATGAGCTGGGGAAGTTGGGGGAAGTCGAAGGTGGACAGGCTGATGGAATCATGGAGGGGAGGATGAAGGTTTGAAGGACTTGAAGGATGCTGCCTTTGTTGGAATGCTTGGTATGGGTTAGAGGTTTTTGACACAGTTCGATTTGGGAATTGAGGTATATAGGACCCTTGAGCAGAACTGGGGGTTGCATCCACTTCGTTACAAGAGTCCTTGGTTCTTCTGACAGTACCAACAGCCGTCCAGACCGGCGGCTCCAAGAAAAACCATGCGAGGTCCCGGCGCTTCGTTGCCGGCAGGAGTTGGAATTGGAGCTGGAGAAGCTCTACAGCAAAGCCGCGCATTTGTGCAGGGTTGCCCGGTGGACGACCCTCCCGGTGCAGCTGCCGTGAGCTGCCGTCGCACTGGTTGCAGGGTGGAGGCTGTGGCAACACGGCGTAAGAGTAGATGGCCCTGGGTCATGGCGCCGGGATGCCCTGGTTGACCAAGAATGAACAGAATAGACCACCTGGGAGGTTAACCTACCCTGGTTTGTGGCGGTTTTGACCCACAGCCATATCATCATGCCACCTCTTCTGTCCTTTACCAGCCGGATTGAACTGCAACAAATATCGCGTAGGTTTATTACATTTTCCATGTGAAGTTCGCCAGCTCTTGGTGTGTGCCCACATCCACATCCACTGGATCCCCTTCTGAGCAGCCTTCGCGGCAGGATGTTTTCTTCTTTTTTTGCTTCACGGAAGTGTTGATGTTTCACAGAAGTGTTGACGGGCTGATGCAGTGGGCGCGAAGAAACTCCATCTCCGATGAGGTCAGAATGAAAGCCGCAGCCTCGCCTTCGTTGGGGAGCAGCACAAGCAGGCAAAGATCGGTGAAGAAACTCGACATCCCAGGAGTCACATGGAGTTGGGTGGCGTTTAATCCCTAAGGCCCATCCAGTGAGTGGATACTGGGCACCCCTAGCCTCCTGGGCACCCCTAGCCTCCAATAGGCATCCCATCTTGTGACTCCTGGCCCTTACAACTTGGAGGGTTATGTGGCCTTTGTAGATTTTTCGGCTTCCGCAGAAACTTTACGCTTCCGAATGAGAAAGGAATGCAGTTCCTTCGAACATGTTTCAGAATCTGAGCATGTGGTGGCACGTAGCACGTGGGGGTCTGCGACCTCTCTTGAGCAGTTTCACTTACTTACGAGTGGGGGGCACTTTGCTCCACCCACCAATCTGATTGACACCAAGTGCCGTGCGACAGTGGCGGCCGATGAGTGGACGGGTCGTCGAGCGAGCGAGCAGCGAGGTGCCGGTGGCCATCAAGAAGCTCCAAGAGACCTTACAGCAAACGTGGCGGACGCCCAGTTCCGTTGGAAGTGTTTCCCCTTCCCTCCTTCGGTGCAGAGTGCGGAGCTGGGTCTTTGGACCGGTTGGGACGGGGTGCCCAATCCTCTTCAAAGCCTTCTCCAATCCCCGGACCCCGAAGCCCGAAGTCAGGGTAGTTGGCACAACGCTCAGTCTTCCCATCTATGCCATGTCATCGGCAGCTTGGACTATGGGAGGAAGCACAGCTTCTGGCGCCCGTGGCACCGAGCCCGGGGTCTGCGGAGGTCCGGCGTGGCGGACGAGCTGAGCGTCCGCGTGAGAAAGCTGGACACGGTCTGCAGTCACGTGGGCGAGGCGGTGGGTGGAGACGGCGGGACCGCACATGCGCGAGCATGATGAGGAGGGTTGCTATCTAGAAGGGTTGATGAAATCAAGTGTGAGTGGAATATGTTTGAGGTTGGAATGTTATATTTTTGCGATGCCCTGGGCTGTCCTCAACTTGGGGATGAATTGTGTCAAACGGACCTATTGGTTGGCTACTTACTGCTATGGACCTTCGACCCACCGTATACAGGGCCGTATTCGTTTTCCCTTGTTTGTTGGGTCGTGTTGTTTTTTTTCTTTTTGTTTGGCAGAATCAGCGACCGATGACTTGAGCGATCTGGCTGTGACCTGCCCACCGGTCTCGCTCCTGACGCTTCCCTGGTGCCAAGCGTCCGTTGGAACCCACCGGATCGGGCCGGACGGGTCTTCGTGTTTTCGGTGTTTGTAATATTAGTATTATAGATTAACCTGGACCTTCAAGGGGGTGTCCAATGGAGGTCCCTTCGTAGTGTAGAGGCTCCCAGCCAGGTGACCCCTTTGAAGAAGGTGGAATTAATATGTGTATTTTCCAAGCCACCCTTGCAATGTGTACTAGACACTTTTGAGGACACATTGTAGTTGACCTACGTAGGTTACCCTTGCACTCCCTGAGCAATCGTGGTGTTCCCAGCTGTTTGTAGAGCAGAATGATCATCCGAACTCCGGGGCCACCATCCACAGCCCACGATGAAGTCAGGGACGCTCTAGGGCTCTCAAGTACGTGCTTGGGGTGGCTGCCAGGAAGGCTCCGAATACCTCTTCACCAGCAGGTGCGACTGGAGCCCGAACCGTGTCAGCGTCCCAGAAGCCCCACGGTTCGGCCCCACGCTTCGGCCGCTCGATCCGACCCGTTCGATCCGACCGTGAAATGCCCATGCCACGGCCTGGATGGCACCTGGCCAGGCACTGAAGATTGTCGATGACCTGCTGGAGCTTCGCGAATGTTCGGACCAGGCCGACCACGAAGATGCTGCAGCGAATGTTCGGGCGTCCGGGGGAGGCTGCTCAAATGTTGGAGAAGGATGCTCAAATTGCCGAGAGATGATCATCTCCAAGAGTCCAAGAGTTACATTTTCTGTCAAAACTATGGTCTAAGAGTCTAAGAATGTTTACGATTTGTTTGATATTTTTTAGAAGCATCTTAGACCCTTAGACCCTTAGAATTCAGCTCCGATGCACAATATGACATGTCATGACTCCAACTGGGCATGAGGAGCAGTTTGGACTGTCTGTGTCCATCCCCAAAAACCGGAGCACAAAAGATGAACCGAATGGGAACTCTACCGAATCGGTCGTGTGCCACCGGATGCAATCAGGTTCCCATTTCGGGAGCCACGGAGAACCCACAAATCCTCAGCCAAGAGATGAGACAGCTAGAAAGGGCCACTGACCACGGGGTTGGCACTCGATAGATCTCCCTTGAAACCGAGAAACCCGACTGAAAAGAAGGGATGACCGCGACGACCGACCGACGGAGGGCGTCTATCTGGCAGCCCTTCCAGAGGTGTCTGGTGTCAGTGTCTGATGTCAGCCCTTCTGGTTGATTGCTTTGGTGTGGAGCCTCTTCAGGTTGATCCCTTGTTTTTTCCAGCTCCAGCAGGCGGTTCGTCTACGTGAACCCCCCGGAGCTCACTGTCACTCTTATCCCTGTCGTTTATTATTACTGTATGTTTTTTGTGTTTTATATATTTTTCAAGGGATGATTTTCCACTCTTTTTTTTAATGCACAACCAGGTGATGAAGTGTATCACCGGTGAAGACTACGAGCAGGCCGCACGTTACGTCGGGAGTCCTAGTTTCGTTACAACTAGGTGATGAGGGGGGTGATGAGTGGGCGGGTGAACGATGTCTTCCCATTCTGAAGGCTTAGATTTGAGTTATCACTTGGCATGGGCAAAGGGTAAGAAAAAAAATCTGCCTTGGATATGAACAGATACATTTTAGCGGATCTTGAGAATCTTATGGGGAAAGTTCCACGGTTGAGTTCCCAACAGTCAAAAAGCTCACCTCACTAAGGGCTTCGTTCAAAAGAGGAGGACCTTTGGTCATACCAGGAGCGATGTTTTAAACGACACATACTCATAGTGATGATGGCACTGTGTCTGTAGCCACCACAATAATGGTGAACACATATCAAATAATGACACACACACATATATCAATTATACTTGTCATGAATTCTGCCTCCGAAACTCTTTCTCAAGGATGGCATGCGCAGTCCGCCGCATTGCATGCTTGTGGCTCGAGCTGGAACTCACTCGTGCCTCCTTTTGTTGTGCCCACATATCAGTTCGACATGGCCCCAATGAAGGCAATGAAGGCAATGAAAGCGATGAAGGCGATGAAGGCCATGAAGGCCATGAAGGCGATGAAGTCGATGAAGAAGGCAATGAAGAAGGCCGATGACGAAGAGGCACCAGCTATGAAGTCCATGAAGGCTATGAAGGCCATGAAGGCTATGAAGGCCATGAAGGCTATGAAGTGAGT